GTTGGTGGGGGGGGGGGCGGGGAATAACATTACTAATGAATATGGAAAAACAACTTCAAACCTCAGTTCATGGATTTTAAAAAAAGAAACTGAACAGTGAAAAAAAAAAAGGGCATGAAAACATTAAAGTACACAACATTGCCAAAACTTACTTATCAACACTGCAACAAAAAACAGTTAAACAGTGATAGTCTAGGTAATCGTCAGCTGTGAAAAAAACCCCACAACTGTTTGAGAAAACAAAACACAGTGTCAGAATTACCACTACCCCATCTCCCCTCTTCCCCAAAACACACATATGTATGTATGTACATGTGTATATACACCTACACACACTATATATGCATATATTCCAGAGGGAATTTCAATTCCAAGAAGTTCCAGTCCCCTTTTAGCAGATAATTGTTGCTGTTTGTGAAACTGGCAGCTGCTCCAGAATCTGGGCCAAAGAGTAGATATAAATATCCCTTCCCAGAACATAAAATATGCAACAAAATACTGCCTTACTGCGTTGGTATCTTCCCCAGTGAGTCTACACTTCTGAAAGAAATAAAAGAAGGCAGGATGCACAGCATCCTTCTGTCTTCAATAACTCTGAGACACAGAAATCTCACAGAAAGGAACTTGCTTCTCCGAGCTGCAACCCCTGCCCAAACCGGCGCATGTGAGACGCGTTCTGCAATGAGAAGTGGGCAGCCAGAAACGTGTCCCTGTGTGGAACTTCCCGCTGACTACTGCTCCTTGGAGTCACTGTAAAGCAAACGTGTTCCGAGGAATCGGGCTCTCTTTATTTCACCGCTAAGCAATCAGCCAAACCTGGTGTTAAGAACTGAACTCCTTTTTCCCCACTTTCAGGCGTCACCACCCTTCCACCGCTCTTGCAGGTAGGACGCCGGCGCCCCCGGTGCCGGTGCCGGCGCGGCAGCTCTCCGCCCGGCCCGCAGCCCTGCCCTGACGCGACGGTGGACGCGATGCAGCTCCCCTGCACGTGCCAGCCGGTACGGCTATGCTACGGGAAAGGCAGTACGGAAGTACGAGACGAACGGATGCAGAGTGCAGTGAAAGAAGGTACTGGTTCTACAGAATTTGTTTTCACAGCCAAATCACGCCCATAAAAGAGCAAGAGCCATAAGAAGCTCCAGTATGCCCACGCCTTTTCCATACTGGGAGCCCAGCACTGGGCCCAGCCCTCAGATGTGTCCCACCAGCACGGGGCAGAGGGGAGGGACCAAGGTTCCTCCGGAGGGCACGCTGCCAGCTCTGTTCCACCTTCTGCTCACCAGAACCTCCAGGCCTCTTCCCGCAAAGCCCATTTCCAGACGGCCAGCCCCCAGCCTGTCCCGGTGCCAGGGGTTATTCCTCCCCAGGGGCAGGGATCGGCTTTGGTCTCCGCGCTTCGCGACACTACTGT